TAGGTGGGTGGTGGATGGATGGGTGGATGGGGAGGTGGGTGGATTCATGAATGAATGAATAGATGAATGCACAGTGGGGAAGATGGTTGGTACATGGTTTATGCATTATGATGGAGAACCTGTAATTTGTTTTGCATGACAGAGACGGTTAAAGAAATACTGCTCTGGTTAGCCAAGGGGTGTCCCCTTCCCATCCACATTTTAGAGGCTGGTCCTCCACTAGGTGCAGGAGCTGGTGAAAGTCAAAGAAGTGGGGCCTAGAAGGATGTCGTCCAGTCACTGAGGACCCTGTGTGAGTCCGATTTCCACCACTGTGATAAATACCTGAGAATAAGCAGTTACAGGAGGAGAGGGTGATTTCAGCTCATGGTGTGTGTGGGTTCAATCCTTGGCCGGCCGGCTCCATCACTTTTAGACCTGTGATGAGTCAGAACCATCTCGGCGAGCAGGTGTGATGAAAGAGAAAAGCTGCTCACCCCAGGGAAGCAGGGAAGCAGGGAGAAGGGCAGGGACGAAGCGATGCTCCCGGGGCATGGTGCCGAGGAACTGCTTAGTACACACCGGCCGCACCACCTGCGTCTCCGCCACCTGCCAGTAATGCCACCAAGTCGCGAGCCCATCCATAGACTGACCCGCTCGTGAGCTCAGACCCCTCCCACAGCCAGTCACCCTGCAGAGGCCACAGCTCCGAGCACTGCTGCTATGTAGACAGAGCCCCCAGCAGAGCAGCTTGGGGGACCTCCAGGTTCAACCATGATGGGTTTTTCCTGGGAACACAATCGTCACTAGGACGAGGTAACTCAGGCAAAGTGACTCACACCCGTCCTGTTGAGGCGTTCAGGGTCCAGCTGCGTGAGCTACATCCGCCTCTTTGCTTTGTGAATGGCCACCCGCACTATTTTGTGAATGTGGTAAAAAGCTGACTAATATACACACCTGGTAAGAGAGAATGGTACAAAATAGCAAAATCCGTACACACGTCATTTCTAACACATCTCATTACTCCGGGTGCTGTGGGTCATCCTCTATTCCCAAACAGAATGGGTTTTGTTGTTGCTGTTGTTTTGGTGCTGGGAATTGAACTCATGACCTCACACCTGCCAGTGAGGTGCTTTGCACTGAGCTACATCCCTGTGAAACAGAATGGTTTTAAAGAGCAGCTGTGTGTATTTCTGTCATCAACCAGCCAGGTGAACACATCCCAGCCGTCCTGGTCTTCTACCCCAATTAAAGGCCCAGAGATGAAGTTGCTGAAGAACCTCGCTCACACCTATTTCACACAGTTGAGGCTGGCTGTCGGCTGAGAGGAGAACCAGCTACATGGCTCACAGGGACCCATGCAGAAGGAAAACCAAAGCCCGCATCCAAACAGTTACTGAGAATTTCAAGATGGCGGCCACAGACCCTGGAACGGAGCATGGCGCCCGTTCCACAGACCCTGACCCTGGAAATCAGCCCTCGCTGAGATGTCTGGGGACGCTTTCCCACAGAACTCTCACACGTGACCTCTTTGCATGGCTTGGGTGAGCTCAGAGCGTGCTGGCTTCCAAAGGTACCTGGGTTGCAAAGGGAGTGAAAATCCCAGGGAGTGAAAATCGAGCAGAACTCGTATCACGTGCAGAAGCCCAAGTCATGCAGCATCTCTCCCGCAGTCGTCTCTCCGTAACAGCAACAACAGATACCCACCCGAGTTCCCAGGAAGGAGAATAGGACCGCTCTGTGGTGAGTGGGAGGTCCTGGGGCGGAAGTACTGCTGTGGCCCTTCAGGGAAAATGTCATCTGTCCCAGCAACAATGCCTGCCTTATAGCTGCAGGGCGGGAGTAGGAATAACCCAGCAACCTGGGACAGAGAAACTCTGCTCATTTACCCAGAGAGTATTTTTTTTTTTTTTTTTTTGGTTTTTTTCCAGTACTGGGAACCGAACTCACGACCTTGCGCTTGCCAGGCAGGCGCTTTGCCGCTGAGCTAAATCCCCAGCCCCACCCAGAGAGTATTTATGTACAAAGAGATATTTTACAGGTTGTGTGCTAGGGGCCGAGCCTGCGGAGGTGGGGAAGTCATCTTCTTTCTTTCTCTGTCCTTGGTCACTTTCCTCATCGCTGGCACCAATGCCCAAGGTGCTGGCAATGTAGAGGAAGAGAAGTTGATTTTGGCTAGCAATCTCAGAAGTTTCGGTCCGTGTCGGCAGGCCCAAGCACAGAAACAATATGGCGGGGCAGTGACGGAGGGGGAAAGATGCTGGAATCCTGTTGGCCAGAAGGCAGAGAGAGAGAGAGAAAAGGGAGGAACAGCACAAGAGATAAACCCTCCCAGGTCAGACCTGGTGACTCCGGGCCCTGGCTCTGCACAGCACCGTTAGCTGTGGGTTCGTGAGTGGATTAACCCACCCATGAGTGTAGACCCCATGGTCCAGTCACCTTCCAGAGCCTCAGTTCTGCACACAGGAGACTTCTGCGGGGTATCATAGATCTAAACCATGACATCCATCTGTCTGTCTGTCTGTCTGTCTGTCTGTTTACTTGTCCATCCATCCATCCATCCATGTATCTATCCACCCATCTATCTGTCCATTCATCCATTATGTATCTATCTATCATGTATCTATCTATCATCTATCAATCAATCTATCTGTATCATATATCTCATCTATTCAAGTATCTCTCTGTACTTAACTATCTATCATTTATTTTTCTATTCCGTCATCCATTCATTTATCCATCTCCGCGTTATCTGTGCCTGTTACCTGTATGCATACACGTGTCTATCTATCATGCCTGTCGACCGTTTATCACGCATGTCCCATGTATCTCTCATCTAATCTTCCCGTCTATCATTTCCTCTCTAGCCATCTCTCCATCCATGTATCCATTGTATTTCTTGTTTCTGTAGAGAAACCTGGCTACTATACGTAGCTTTTTAGAGGGAGATAGGAACAGGTTATAATGTAAGAGGTACCTGTGTCTGCCCTGAGACAGACTGTGAATGGATTAAGGGGAGACAGACTGGGAGAGACAAACAGGACCAGCTCTGGAGAGCCCAGGGAGGGACCACTTTCATACGCACATTTCCAGACCAAGCATATTTATGAGCAAAGTAAACTGTATAAAACTATGGGAAACACAGGACCCTCATCTCTGTCATTCTGACATTTTAGAATATTTTTTTCTTCTTTCTCCCCAAAGTCACCACCAGCTCGAGGCCCACCTGGGTAATCTCCTGTGTGTTCCTGGTGTAAAACTTGCTCTGACGTCTTGGTTAACCAGACTTGACAGGTTAGTAAGCAAAAACACGCCTTAGATTTCCCAAATACCAAGAATCACATATGGTCATCACTCTTATAAAAGGAAAGAGCAGAGCAAACAGAACAGAGCTCTTTCCTTTGCCAGGAAGAAAATTAATGCTTTGCTTAGAAAGGTGGGCCAGTGTGTTGTCACTACATTTGCTTGGAAATAAAATGAGAATCATTTCACCAAAAAGCAAAAAAGCACACAAAAGTCAACTCGTGTTCTGGACTTTGCACAGCCCACCAAAGCTGTCTGCCTGGGCTTGGCTCTCCTGGGTAGCATCATTCATCCCAGCTCTCCTGGGTGGGATGTTTCATGTGGGAATCCAGAACAAAGCTGTGGAGTAGATGATCCTTCTACGTAAGGGACGGGTCACTATGGGTCCCCTCTGAGGTGGCCGGCTTTGTGTCGATCTGGGGTGACACCTGAAGAAACAGTGTAGAGAAAGAAAGATTTGTTTTGACTCATGGCTTCAGAGAGTACAGTCCATGGTAGGCCAGCTCATCATGGCGGACAGGTGCACTAGAAGCAACCTGCTGAACTCACAGCACCCTGGAGGTAGAAATGCCAAAAGCACAGGTCCCAGGGACCAGATTTGGATCCCAAGGTCCCACCTCCATCCCCCAGACCCCCAAGGCGCCAAGATCACCCCGCAATAGCTGCTTAGAAAACAGCTCCAGTGTGGGAGGATCCATTGGTGAAATCGTCACCAGCCATCTCACTGATAAACCTGCCTGGGTGGGGCCACCAGCTTAAGCCAGACACACAGAGCTTCAAACCCAACTGCAAGGGGCCCCATGCCATATGCCCGTGAACCAGGAGCTCAAAAGTGCGAGGTGTGATGTAATTATCCACATTTCAGTCTCAGCTTGCAAGTCATCAACAAACACCATGGAGCACTCTCTCTCTCTCTCTCTCTCTCTCTCTCTCTCTCTCTCTCTCTCTCTCTCTCTCTCGGGTGCCATGAGCTGGGGTGCAGAAATGCCACAATTAGCTGTTCGCCCAGACCAGTGTTAACAAATGCAGGAACCCCTGCTTCCACCCCTTGTCTCTGTGCCTGGGTGCCCTTTGCTTCCGTTGTTGGGATGGGGCAGACGTGACTCCAACATTTCTACACTTTAGCCCTTGGAAGTTTTGGGCTGGAACCTGCCGGCTGTCACGGGTCAAGCTCAGCTCTCCCGCTAGAAGCTCAAAGCGTGCTTCTCTGGCGGCAGAACGTGTGCAGATTTGGTTAAATGCTGCACTGAAATCTGTGCAAATGGCGGCTTCGCTGACTGCCTTAGTCTCAGCTCTGAAACAAAAACAGGGGCTTAGAGCTCGCAGGCAGCATGCCACAGCGGGTGTCCGGAAGGGGTTTGTTTTGGGGGAGCACTGTGACACGTAATGGCTGAAAACAATAGAAAGCTATTCTTCCCCAGCCCGGAGCCCAAGAGTCTGAGACCAAGGTGACTCCGGCAGCACTTGCCTTATTGGCTCCGGGCGAGACCCTCCTGCCTCTGCTTCCTCCTGGGGATCCAGGTGGCCTCGGGCGGTGGCCCCATCATTCCCGTCTGTGCCTCTGTCTCTAAGAGGCTTCTCTCCTGTGTCAGTGTCTCTTTTCTGTCTCTCACCAGGACACCACCATCCAGGCTGTGCTCAGCCCAGGACTATGCCAAAGGCCACTGGCCCAGCAGCCCCTGATAAAACGCCTACCTCCCCCCTCCATGCAGAGTGTAGAACGCAGGGCTGCAAGGAGGCGTACACAGCATGAAAGGCGAATTCTTCTCAGCAAACCCTCTGCCAATTCTCCGGACAAGCTCTTTGAAAACCACAGGACAGAAATGGAAATTTCCTTTTGGGTCTTATTCACTCTTTCGGTTTCTTACACCAGGGAGACAGGACAATGGGAAAGAAACTCCTCAAAAGGGAAGGTGGGGGAAGAGAAGAAAAAGAAAGGAAAAAGAGATATGTATATACACACGAGATAGCTAAGATAATTGCACCGCTAATTTGTCTTAGTTCGTTGAAAGGAACAGTTAGTGCTTATATTGTTTGACCGATTTTGCATGCCTGTCTCTGGTAATCTAAGCAACTACTTTCAAGATAACAATATGCAATATAATAACCATGGTTAATTTCCTATCATCTCGTTTGGAAATCCTGTGTCATTTTTATTGTTCTTTTTTTCTCACTTAGGGAAGGAAAAGAAAGAGAGAAAGAGAGAAAGAGAGAAAGAGAGAAAGAGAGAAAGAGAGAAAGAGAGAAAGAAAGAAAGAAAGAAAGAAAGAAAGAAAGAAAGAAAGAAAGAAAGGAAAGAAAGAAAGAAAGAAAGAAAGAAAGAAAGAAAGAAAGAAAGAAAGAAAGAGAAAGAGAGAGAGAAAGAAAGAAAAAGAAATAGAAATTTCTTAGCCAGGGATGTAGCTCAGTGGCACAGCGCCTGCCTGGCAAGCACGAGGTCCTCAATTCAACTCCCCGTACCAAAACAAAAAGCAATGGAAATTTCCTTAAATTGAAGTTTTATCCTGAATCATTGCAGAGCTTGCACAATGCAATCTTTGAATATTGATGACTACCTTTTTTAAAAGCATTTAATTTGTGTCCTGATTTATAGAATGTTGCCACGTTTTGAATAATGTCAAGTTAAAACCATTTCATCTAAAAGCTTTCTCCAGCATCACTTTTTTTCCTTTTTGGCAAGAATGGAGTCCGAATTAAGAAATGCATGCATAAATAAAACATTCGCAGAGGAGAATCCACCTTCCAAGTTATCCCACAAAAGGAACAATAACAAAATGTGAAAACCATAACAAAACACGTATAGGGGGAACGATTTTCTTCACATGAAGTTGTGATGTTTCCATATTTTTTTTATTTTAAAGAGAATAAAGAATTAAAAAAGATTAAGAATGACACAATTTCCAAACAAGACGACAGGAAATCAAAAATGGTTGTTCTATTGCATAAAGTCAGCATCGACCAAAGATCTAAACATTAAAACATTTCCATGTTTGGTAGAAGGACTTCCAGTTCTCACATACAAGCGTGGAACTTCCTGTGTCCTTGTCAGCGTTTCCTAGGGGTACCAATCACGTTGTTGCCACCTGGCTATGTTGCAACTGGTGTGTAAATTCCTGGTGTGTAAATTAGTGTAAGAAGGCGGAGCACTGGGCCACCCACCTCTCACGCTGCAATGGGCGAAGGACGCCATCCCAGTCCCGGATCCTGGGGCTTTTTCCTCTGAGCCGTGTCAGCGCCCGGGAGGAGCAAGCCAAGCCAGCACCTCCCTGCGCTCATGTGTGAGTGTGAGCATGCGTGTGTGCAAATATGCACACCAAGTCACATGTGTGATAGGATCCGCAGGAAGAAAGAAAGATCATGCATAGCTAGTTAGACACCGGTACACACACTTACACGGGGCTTATGGCTGACCCGTGGTGTCAACTTTGAGGCATCCAGAAGCTTAACTCAGTGACTCTGCACGTCTGCGTCCTGGGGTGTAGAGCAGTACCCCTCTAGCATGTTGTCCGTTGTGTCAGTTGGGGAAGCTTGGAAGTTTAAGTACCCCAGCAGGGGACCAGGGTCCTTACTTTGTAAACATCCTGAGCCCGGGCAAGAGGAGGGCTACGTCAGCCCCAGGGCGGGCGGCCTGCTTATGTTATTAGGGACGGCAAGAGGCTTCTTTCCCCTTTTTCGCTTTTGCTGCTTTTGCTGTCTTATGCTACCTTGAACGGCCACCCCTGTGCCCCAGCTCCCTGCGTTGGAGCCGGCTGATTATAGACTGAAACCTTCACAAACTGTGAGCTCCATAAATCTTTCCTTCCTAAATTTTTTTAGTGTCCGGTATTTTGTCTCAGCAAGGAAAGAAAAGTAATCATGACAAAGGGTGAACGATGGACACAGAAACACAAAAGAAACAGATGATAAATAGATAAAAATGGATGATTTGTACATAGATACAAACACATAGCTAGATATGTACATAGATGGAGGGCTGGGGATATAGCTCAGCGGCACAGTGCCTGCCTGGCAAGCACAACATCGTGAGTTCGACTTCCGGTATCGGGAAAAAAAAAATGGGGCTGGGGATTTAGTTCAGCCGCACAGCACCTGCCTGGCAAGGGCAAGGTCGTGAGTTCGACTCCCGGTACCGGAAAAAAGAAAACATAGATAGATATATAGATAGAAAAATATAGATACATATTGCCCTGGCTGTCACCACAGGAAGATAGATAGATAGATACATAGATAGATAGATGATAGATAGATAGATAATAGATAAATATAGATACATACATACATAATACATGCATACTTATGCAGGTAGATAACAGAGACTTACGTGCTTCATAACAAGATGACATAAATATACAAAATAATCAGAAACAACGATATAAACAGATCAATGGATAGAGATGCAGATATATACATACATGCATGTTGATTCAAGTCAACATGAATACATGCATGCGTAGGTGGACAGATGCCACATGGACAGACAGCAGTACTTTGGTTCTTGAATGCTTCAGTTCATGAACAGTCTGGTTTGTGAACAGAAGCGTTTGGCAAAATTTTGCTCAGGCTGGTGAATTCCACATCGGGATGAACATGACCATGGCTGCACGTCCTGCTTGGATACAAACGCAGCAAGCTTCCCCAGAATGGTGGGACAAATTAAACGTGTGGACCAAGGGACACTGATATACATACACAGATGAATTTATAGATGTGTACATGGATGAATAGATAATAGGGAGATATATGCATGCATGTATAGGTAGATGACAGAAAGATAGATAGATAGATAGATAGATAGATAGATAGATAGAATGGGTGGATAGATAGGTAGGATGGATGGATGGATGGATGGATAGATAGAGACAGACAGAATGGATGGGTAGATAGATTAGATAGATAGATGATAGATGGGATGGATGGGTAGATAGATAGGATGGATGGGTGGATGGATGGATAGATAGAGACAGACAGACAGATAGGATGGATGGATAGATAGATACACAGATAGATAGAATGGATGGATACACAGACAGACAGACAAATAGATAGATAGATAGATAGATAGATAGATAGATAGATAGATAGATAGATAGATGGGATGGATGCATAGACAGATAGGTAGGTAGATAGATGATAGATGGGATGGATGGGTAGATAGATACATAGATAGGTGGGATGGATGGATGGATAGATAGATAGATGGGATGGATGCATAGATAGATGGGATGGATAGATAGGATGGATACATAGATTAGACAGATGATAGAATGGATAGACAGATGATCGATAGATGATAGGATGGGATGAATGCATAGATAGATTAGATAGATGGATAGGTAGATAGACACACAGACAGACAGATGCTGGACAGGATACGTGCAATGAAAGGAGGAGATAGATACATAGATGAACAGTTCTGGTACAAATGCTCCTCAGTCTTTTCTTGCCCCATTTCACAGTGTGTCATCTCTGGGCTTCTGAGAATCTTACTTAATTTCTCCCCGACATTCACGCAAGACAGATAAAACACTCATTAACTGATGACTGATGAAAAACAAAATGCAATTTAACTTTCCCAAGGAGGACCTAGAAGTCAAAGGTTTATGGTTTGACTACAGGAAGTTAACAATGCGTCAAGTGATGGTGTCTGTGCACCAGGGGTTATGGGACAGGGAATATCCCAGACGCAGGGAGGTGCAGAAATGAGCAGTAAACTTCCTTTGGGTTCGCTTGAGCTGCTACAAAAACATGCTGAAAGCTGTGGAATACACAAACAAAAGCTTTGGGGGCCCAGTCCTGGAGGCTGAGGTCCACTGCGCTGGTCTCTCCCTATCTTAGTCCATGGGGGCCGCCATATGCAATCCCACAGCCCGGGCGCTGACACACAGCAGAGCTCGGTGGCCCAGTCCTGGAGAGTGAAGCCCGAGGTCCAGGCGTGGCAGAGCCCGTGTCTGCTGAGGGTGCTGCCTGGGTCACAGATGGTGCTTTCCTGCTGTGTCCTCACGTGGTGGAGGGGCGGGAGCTCCCTGGGGTCTCTGATCTCATCCACGAGGCCGCACCCTCCTGACTCATCACCCAGTGCCGCTCCCCTGGGGTTTGGGAAACAAAAACACCCCTGCCCCCGTTGAGTTTGCGTGTGGATCCTGACACCCGTGAAGGCACCATGCTTTTTAAGGGATTGTTGCTCTCCCACTGGAACAGTTCCTTCCCCGTCTTTGGACTTGGCTGTGTGATTTTTCCAGTGTTGCATTTGAAATAGGAGCTTTGCCATCCGTGAGGATATCAGAGTCTGATCACTTTGTGTTTTCCACAGCAGGCAAGCCAGGAAACATTTGTTAACAATCATACACGGAGAAAATCGCTCCTGGCATCCTCTTTCCCATTTGCCTGTGAAATCCATTCTCCGTCCTCCACGCTGCCTCTGCTGACCCGTTTGGAAGGGTCACACACATCTGTGAAAGTTCAAACACTCGGAACCAACCGACGCCTATAAAAGCTTGGAAAAGCAAAAACCTGTTACACCAGGGGAGCATGAGCAAAGCAGGCACACAGCTCAGTCTCGTTTTCTAAAGACACACGGGGTTTTCAGAAGTCACCGTCACAGGAGGATGAGTCAGGCCAGCACCTGGGACACATGTGGGCTCCGCAGTTACGTAACCACCGCGTGCCCTGCGTCCCCTGATCAAGGTCTGTTGGGCGCCCGTCCCCTGGAGAGGAATCACTCTCGAGCTCAGCAGGGAAACCCCTGATTGTGTTTATTTACCTCAGTCACAATAGCAACTAAATCCGACACACTGTTTGCCTTGGCGTTGGCGGTTCTGCCTCCGTAAGAATGCGGTGGAAAAGGCTGGCTCACCGACCTTATGCATTATTTATTTTATCCATACTGTTTATTTTTTACATTTTTATTTGACTCGTTTATCTCTAACCATGCCGAGGATGGGACCCGCAGCCTCCTGCGTGCTAATCAAGCTCTCTGTGGCTGAGCTACACCCCCAGCCCTGATCGTTTTAAATTAAACACCCCTCGGGGAGCACAAAACGCTGATGGTGCCTGGTCTCCCCAGTGCCCCTTGGTCCCCTC